TGTGTGTGGTTGGGTTTGTGTATATGTGTGTGTGTATGTGTGTGTGGTTGGGTTTGTGTATATGTGTGCGTGTGTGTGTGTGTTTTCACCATGAGCAGCTGCAACAGCAGCACCAGCAGAAGCAGCAGGCGTTGGGCCCCTGGGAATTCTGGGTAATGTCCCGCCCCCCCCCCATCCTGTTCAGTGCCGAGGTTTCACTGCGACCTCCCCCCATGGCCAGCTCCCCCCCTCGCTCAGCCGGGATCGGACCTGTGTACTGCACAGAGAGAGAGAGAGAGAGAGAGACATTAATACATGAACAGTGGTGAAGTCTCTTCAGCTGCTCCTCAAATATTATGGGTCAGGTCACAAGATCAATCTGAGGGTGATGACATCATCAGTGTGTCAGAAAGATGAAAAACTAAGATCAGTGTGATCCACTGGTTGAATAATTTTACAAGTGACCAGAACTAAAGGTTCAAAAGAAATGATTCTGATTAGAGAACAAAAGTTCTCTGTGACTCGGACACTCCTCAGACATTTTGTGAACCCAGCCAGAGTGAAAGAAAGTGTGGGGCTGTGGTTTGTGTTTGTGGAGCGGCTCTGGGACGTTCAGACACATTCAGTGGACGTGAAGGATAAAACTTCAAACGGCTACAGAGCGAAGGAAGAGAACTTTTAAAATGTTCCACCAACAGATCAACCTGTGAAATGTGTGTGTGACTGAGGAGAAACCTGAGCTCCAACAACAACCCCGTGTTAGAATGAGCTAAAAAGTGTCTCCACGTGATCTCCTGTGTTTACAGTCATCACACTGAGAGGACACCGTGGAACCTCACCTGTGGGTCGTCTTCACAGAAGGTGGACGAATGGAAACAGACACTTGTGGGTTAGAAAAGGTTCCTGTTGAAAACGAGCTGTGTGCTGCTCTTTGCACACTGTGTCTCTGTTTATCAGCTAATAATAATCCTCTCATTGTAAAGAGAGATGAAGAAGAGAAGAAAGAAAGACTTGTCAGAGAGATGAAGCAGCTCAGCAGATTTTACTGACTTAAAGGCAAAGTTACTTCCTCAAACTTGAACCTAAAAAATAAAACGCACCCACGATAAAACTGTTTCCATGAACCGACGTTTGATTTGCATTTAGATGAACAGAGAGAAAAACAATGTTTCAGTGGCAACGTCCCTTTTTCTTCTTTCTCTGCACAAACACTGAGACGTATAGGAGAGGTGGAAGAGAGAGAGAGAGAGAGAGAGAGAGAGA